TAGCATGAAAAGTGCTTTTTGGCATAGTTAGAGCAAATGAGAAGAAGAAGAAGAAGGTTCTTCTTGTTTTTCAAGAATAACTTTTCCAAAAGTAAAAGGCATAAACTATCAGATAAGGTCAAAAAGTGCTTATTGTAGAATATAATGAGGAGAATGAATAGCTTTACTTATTATGTTTGCGCAAATTGGACCGTTCAGATTGTTAGGTATTGATAACCAATGATATTATTATAAATCTATTGAGCTATCACATTGCCGCCTATATTGCTATTTTTGTCTGCTTAAAAAGGATGTAAAAGAGCAAGTTGTATTTAACAAAAATCGGACCAAATAACAAACATCGTTAAATGTTAATTGTTAGGAAGAACAGAAATAGAAAATTACAATGAAAGATTGCATATCACAGGTTATTTTACTTGCTTGGACATTTCCATCCTTGTTCAGGCGCACAGTGCGCATATTCCAACTTGCCACCGTTCTTGCGCTCAATAATGCATGAATGCAACTTATCGTCACAGTAGCAACCTTTGTCTCTACAATAAGAACTTTTCAGTGCTATTGAGATAAAATTTGAAGCATTTGAAAATATTTTGAAATATTGAAAATTTCAATACATATCCGACAATTTTCCATAGAAATGATTGAAATGCGCTTACGTCCACGATTGATTTTCGTTCAATCTGCACCAGTCTTGTGGTTCACGTTGATCGTAGCAAGCTTCATGAGACTTGCATTCTTTCTTCCTGCAAACAACACATATAATGAAATGAAAAAAGATTTCATCCCTTCGCATTATTTTTTGTACTTTACTTACAATTGACAATTTATATGCATAACGATTAGAAGTAACCTCAGTACCTCAATTTGACTTTTAATTTTTGGTATCCACCGTTATGAATCATATCAACATCAACACGTTATAAACCTTAAATAATAGCAAGTAGTATGGAAACAAAATAATAGCAAGTAGTATGGAATAATAGCAAGTAAATAATAGCAAATAATAATAAATAATAGCAAGTAGTATGGAACATTATCCTAATAGGTCGAATCAAAGGTTTTTAGGTTCGAGTTGTTAAATATGATAGGAAGTGTGAGAAAAAATAATTCGGCTGTCATCACGAAGAATAATGAAAAGATCGCATTCGCGGGAAAGGCAAATATCGCTTTTTGCACTTCATTTTACAAGTGATCATTCTTTGCAGAGTATTCCGGGTATTG